GTTGGTTCCACAGGAGAGGAGCCTGAGAACTAAAAGATCTGCCTCCCATTCTACTTTTAGAAATTCTAGGAACCACTAGTAAACCTTCAGATTGAGAGCGAAGTGCTCTGTTAGGAACATAGCCTAACAGAGCTCCTAGCTTCCTCTTGCTTAGAGTTGCCAACCGTCCCTCGAAAAACTGAATCATTCCATATTTAGTGGTCGCTTTGTCCCGTATTACTTGGGGAGGAAAGAAAATAGTCAGTAAAAAGCTAATAGAAAATGAAGCACATTAGATAGAAAACTTACGGTAAACTTGTTCCCGCCCCTATCCTCATTGTGACCAATGAGCTGACAGCATGAATTAACGAGCCAGAATCCCTTCATCCTCATAATGATTTTTTCCAACTGTAGCCTTCAGTCATTGCATTTAAGGAACAAACATGTTTACAAGTTTGCACAACTTTGCTGTTGCACCAAAATGTGCACTATTTATTTATTTATTGTTTTATATTCATTTTTACAGTTTGAAGTTAAGCAGGAAGGCTTATATTTAAGATACTTATCTAAATCAGCAAAGTTTGTTATTTTGTATCAAAGTGAATTTCTGGATAATAATTTGTTTTCCATGTTTTCATTTCATTTCATGGATGATTTGAGTCAAATAGTAAAAAAATAATTTCACACACAAAGGGGGGCTGAAACACATTTCCACGGGGGAGGGGTGAAGGTAATGAGGTCAGCTGGCACGCACAGGAGGTTCCCTTTTATTTTCAGGGAGTTGCCACCGAACTCTTAGTGCAACGCAGCAATCATGACTTGACACGTCGAAGCTGAATAGAGTCAGAATTGAAGCCTGACTTTTCTGAGCAAGTTTTAGTAAAACCCCTGAGGGTGAAGCCAGAGAGAGGGAGAGAAACAAACACAAAAACAAAGCGGGGTTTGGTTTCCCACGGCGTCGCCCACAACCGAAGCCACAGTAAACCTCACAGACATGAAAATGATCGACGCTGAAGAGAGAAACCATCCCGGGTTCAGCAAACGGTGGATGATTGACACGTTCCAGGACTTCCATTCAGTTCCGTTTATTTACAGCCACAGCAAAGGTCATTTAAGGTCAGTTTCTATCAGATCATCCAATCATATTAAAGGCTTCGATAAAGAAATGAAAGCTTATTGCATCACCATGGTTTCATCATTTAATCAGAGGATCCAGTTTATCCTTTTAGAACCAGATCCCAGCAGAGATGATTTTCCTTCTTCAGCCTCATGGAGGTCAGGATGCGGCTGCATACGGTTAAAGCACAGGAAATGATCAGCAGCATGGAGTTCTCTGATTGGCCGGCTGATTAGACATCCCCCAGACTCTTCTCCTGATTGGCTGATTGGCTCATGAAGTCTCTACAGATCTATTTCCAGGTCCAGCCCCCCCCCTTTCAGAGGGGCGACCCCCATTCCACAGGGGGGGACCCGTTCATCCGTTTCTATTTGCATGTTTTCTAAGCTAAAACCAGGCTTTGTTGGGCTGCTGGATTAAACCTGGAACTAAACGCTATTTCTGACATTTTGGATTGAAAAATCTTCCTGGATGGAAGAGAAACGTCTTCAGACTCGTAAACAAAGTCCAGAGGATTGATTTTAACTTTTTAGGACTGACTCTGACCTGGATGACTGAGAAGCTTCAGCAGCACGTTTTGACTTTTGCTGCATTGGTGAAAAGTCAACGTGTGATTGTGTGAAAGTGAAGGGCGGTTAGGGAAGTGAGGAAAAGTGAAGCACATGCTGGGATCCACAGACTGGACTTCCTGTTCTGGTCCAGTTCCTTCAGCTACTTTCTGAACTTTAAACTCATTAAACATTTAAGTCGCTCAGATGAGATTTTTGACATTAAAAACATTCCCTGCTTTTCTATTTTAGGAAGTATGGACTTTGACTAGGCCATTTCAATGCACCACTTTTATTGTGGCCATCTTGCATCATGTTCCTGTGATGACCCGGACCGGACTGACTCCTTCCGGTGAACAGAGGACATCCTGGTCCCCTCAGTGACTGCAGGCCCCCATCATCAGTCCTCCAGCACCGTGCTTCGGCCCCTCCTAGCAGCGAATGTCTAACCTGCTTTCTGAGGCCTGCAGTCTGAAATGTGCTGAAAGCAGAAGCGATCTTCTCTGCAGGACACCCAGGCTGATGCTGAACAGCTCCATCAGGGATCTGCTCCCACTGCGTTTAACCACGGCGAAGTTAAAGTCCAACTCGCCGGGCGGTCTGGAATTCTTTGCTGTCAGCTCTGAAGGGCAGAAAGTGATAAAGCGTCTCTGCAGACCTGGAAGCTCTCTCTGTGGTCTGTGGTCCAAACCAGAATCTGGCTTCCTGAACATTTCTGAGCAGTTTCAGTCCAACACAGCAGAGAGATATTGACTGGAGTCACAACCTGTTTACTGCTGAGCAGGAAGAAGAGTTTCATTAGAATCAAAGATGCTGGAGGTTCAACAGGAAGGAACCAGGCTGCTGGTTCTGCTGGGATTACTGGATCTAATGGAGGATCTCAGCGGTTAGAGCTCTGGGCAGGGGCAGATACAGGGAATGTGGGGCCCTAGGCAGAGACAGGCAGGGCCCCTCTGAATGGAGAAGACAT